ATTCTGAGACCTTTATATGTATATCTGCACAGCTGCATTAAGATCCTCTTAAACAATCCTTTTAAAGATTGAGTTACTGTTTTCTCTCAACCAGTACATTTCTACTGGTTTGGTTTTGCTCTGTATTTAGGCAGAGGAAAATACACAACATGGATGCAGTTGGTCAATGGCTGCTTGTGGGAGGTTGCTCTTATTATTGGGGGTGGTATGTAATAGTAAACAGAACCAGCTGCTATTTAGCTGCATGGTTTACTACAGCGTATATTATCTACATGTAAAGAAGCACATACTCCGTTTTGAGCTTGCATCAGAAACAGATCTCATTCCATATCCATTTTTTCCTTTTTTTACTTTTCAGAAGAATGTGGTAGATTAAACTGTGTAATTAAGGAATGAACGAGGTTTTTAGGGTGCAGTATTTACAGTGAACAGGCAAAATAAAGACCTGACCATAACTTGCAAAATATCTAATCCAGTTGAAAAGGGGTGTGAATCAAGCTTACACTAGTGTGTCTCCTGGCTTCCAAAGTAATTTCATCATCTGGTACATGAGATAAAATACAGATGTTTCACGTTAGAAACACAGAGCTTGATCTCTTTTTTTTTTTTTTTTTTTTTTTTTTTTGCTTTTAAAAAGCCTGGATAACAGACATGGTCTGGATATGACTTAATAATTCTTGATATGGTCTGAACTCTTTGCCCAGCAGAGTATACCCTCAAAGTAAATATAATTTTAGAAAGTTGTTTTTTAATAGAATGTTTTGATTGTTGGAGTGTGTGTTCATAAAAATTCATAAAACTGGTCTATTATTTATCCTCACAAAGAAGTGAAATCTTAAACATGAAAAAAAGTATATTCCACATTTGCAAAGGTTTTAATCATCACCTAGATGGACTAGTCTCTCAAACTGCAAAGAAAGTCAGAATAGTTTCTCCATGGCAGTCTCTGATGTGCTAGCCTTTAATTTATGTTAGCCTTGAAACCAAACAAAACAGTGTTTGTTTCCCAAAACTCACTTTGTCCCATATGGTACATCAACGCAGTCACTAAAACCACAGTGGAACCCACTGAATCCATGTGGCTGGAAGAGTCAAGAGAAATGGCTTAGTTATTTGTAAATACAGTTCAAGGTCTAATATCTCATCTTTCTGTTAGTAATATTTCTAAAGAAAAAGAGTAAATAGAAGACTAACATGGTAAAAGCTGATGTAAACTACTGGATTTGGAAATTTGGGCTATCTTCCTAGTTGTGTTGTCGTCCTTCATTGTCTGGAGCAGGGCATGTGCTGAGGATGAACTTGGTACGATCTCATCTTCATTCCCATGACAGGGGCGAGGTTGTTTATTTCATACTTGGCCCCCACGCCCAGCTCAGTCCCCCAAAGTGGGAGGACTAATAACTGTCTGGCCTTGTATTCTTTAATTAGATTTTTTGATTCAGGACATTGAAGCTCAGAGGCAGCTCTGTTGGTGCTGCACCAGTGTAAATGTGTTGAGGACACTGAGCACTTAGTGGAAGAAGAAATTATAAATGGGCAGAGAGGATGAGAGTCAAAAGCTAAATCTCAGACACAGGCTTGCCCCTACTGGGCTGGTGAACAAACATGGAAGTATTCTAATATCCCCTGCAGAATGGACAAGCTTCTTGGACTGTGCACATGCCGTATGACAGGCTGTTTGTCCAAAGATGAGTGGAAGATAGTTATCTTTCACTAAGAAGTAATAGCTCTGGAGAAAATCACAGTAGCTATAAAAAAGATAAAGAACAGAAGAAGTAATCTGTGATAAAATATTTGGAGATCTGTCCAGGGGAAGCAGTGAAAAACTTGGAAAGATGCCACGAGTTTGCACCCATGTATGAAAGAAAAATATTTTCACTGTCCCCATTATCTTCTTTCCCATTATCTAATGGAAAAGAGAAGGCCCTACAGAAATGCTTAAGATCTGAACTGGGATCACTGTTCCAGGCCCAGGGAGTTTTTCTGTACAGACATGCCAGCCAGAATTCTTACTGACAGTAAGTTTCAAGGAGCACAGAGAGGTTTTATTTTTGTCCATTCTTATTCTGATCCTACAGCATTGTTGAAAAAAGCAATAAAAGACAGTGACTGGCTCTTATAAATTGTATTGGTTTTTGAAAGCTTTTGACAATGAAGAAAATAATTGTAACAGATAGTGAAACTGTTGATTTGTCTTTTCTTTTTGTTTGTTTGTTTGTTCTAAAGTTATCCATGTATTTTGAAATAGTATCAGGGTGTGAAATGTACTGCAGTCTCTAACTAGGAACTACCTTATTAGTGTGACGTACTGCTAGAGTTAAATGTGGTTTGGTCCTTCCTGAATCCTTTATTTTTTATTAAGGATCTTCAGCATGGAAGGAGAACTTCAAATATAGATGTCACAGTTGAAAATCTGGACTTGGTTGATATCTGCCTGTTGAATCCATTGTCAAAAGAAATGAGGGAAAGAGTGATATTCTAGCCAAAAAAATCAACATATAGATTTTGTTGTTAATTAGCAAATGGATATTATTGAGATGTAAGAACCAGATGATCCTACAGTATCTAAGCAAGAAACCTCACAAACTGTTGATAAATGTAGTTATTCAGGGTGTACCTTCTGTAAAGACAATGACAACTTCATTAACATTTTGACTTTGAAGATACAGTTTGGAAGCCTATCCTGGTGAGAAAAGGCTCAAGATACCACCAACTTCAACATTGCTCTCAGCAGTTACATGGCACAGCTGCTGCCACACTGCGGGAATCCCAGCAAGTCTATCTGAAGGTGAAGAACCTCCAGTCAGGTCCCCAGTGCTCCCATCTCCAGCTGCAGCAGGAATCCTGTAACTATGGAGCAGTCATTAATGTTGAACACAGCACAGCACTACTGGAAGGGAAGAGAAATGGTGTGCAAGGTGGAGAGAAATGTTTCATGACACAAGAGTGCGGATGTATACAGAACTGCATCGGTGGCCTGCTCAAAAGAAAAAAGCTGACAGTGAGTCACCTTGTTTGACAGCATGAGGTACAGATAAATTACACATGTGATCTTTTCATGGCACTGATGTAGATAGTCTCAAACTGAAAAAATGCTTACTCATATGGATGAAAGACAAGAAAATGCATGGAGCAGACCAAATTTCTATTAATATTTATCCTTTTTATGTCTCTCTGATCTTTTTCTGAAGTGAAGAAGTGTTATTCCTTTTAATACAACATTTCACCATAAATAGGCGGTGACGAATAGAAATGGTCAATATTTTTTCTGAAAATATTTGTTAGTATATTTTAAATTTTGAATGCAAGGTCATATAGATCTAAGGATAGTCATCCTTTGATGTGTTTGAGTCAAAGACTTAGGAATCAGAAGAAATTTTCTATTTGATAGAAAAATAAATCTGGAGGGAACCTTAAATAGTCTAGTCTCTTGCTCCACTCACTAAACATCCCTGTCAGATGCTTTTTGTTTGTTCTTAAAGACCCCTAGTGATAGAAATCCCCAACCATTCTCAAAGATTCTACTGTTATCCCATTATTCCATCAGAAAGTCCCTTTTTTTCCAATGACAAAACTAAATCTCCTTTTCTGCATTTTAAGTCCTGTTTACCACACTTACAGAGACTTGATCTACTCCATTCTTATTTGTGATTGTCTTCCTCTTAGCTTTCCTATTTGGTCCCAAGGCCTTCATCTCAACCTTTCATTGTAAATATTTTTTTCCCTAGATTTCTGATAATCTTCACTGTTTCCCCTCTAATCGGCCCACTTCTTGCTTTAAACACTGCACCAAAAACTGAATGTGCTATTCCAACTGATGCTTTACAACTTAAAAAGAGTGAAAGCATTATATGATACTGACTTTTCTCTTTGCTTACAGTGATCTTTGCTGATCTTTGTGTGTTTTTATGGTGATCTTTTCAGGTATTGAAACTTGAGAGGAAATTTTACTCTTTGTTGGAGGGTATGGTGTACATACATTTAAAAACTGCCACTTGCAATCCTATGTGCTGCACAGGTTTCACTTAAATGAATGAATATTCATAACAAATTAGTTTTAATTGTACTGAGTGATAAATTCATCATTAGCAGTGCCTCATTTGGTAACATAGCATATTGAATTGTGCTTTATATAACTGACATAATGGGAATGACAAATAACATACTACATACTTTTCATTTAACACTTTCTTAACAAGAAATTTGTGACAGTACTGGGATGCATTTGAAGATGCTTACAAAGGAAAATAAAGTTAAAAATTAATACAAATAATTCCCTTCAAGAGCTTTAAAATTTAAGAACATTTTCCTTCTGGATACTTTTTTTTTTTTTTTTTTTTTTTTAAACAGACAATTGTTTTTTCCATGCTGTAGATCACAGCAACAAGAAACAACTGATTATTTTGTGATGGTTGCGGAAATAGCCAAGGTAGTACAAGAACTGCAAAATATGGTTCTATATCCTATGTGTGGTCTCTTAGACAGTGGTTCATGCCTACACTGGAGGGAAAGGGGAAAAGAAGAGAACTTGGTATTAAACCCACACTTGCACACACAGAGAGACGCATATTTGATTGTTTTTCATTTCCTCCAACTTCCATTCACTTCTGTGTAGGGAATCAGTAGCCACAAAGCTGGTCTAAAACATAGCTTATAAAACTGTCAGTACTTTACATAAGGAACTCCCAGTACCTTAATCTATTATCTATATTTTATCTTCTTAATATTTTTTAACTTTTATTTTTTAGTCTTTTATATATCCAGATAAGTTAACTGCCAGATAAGGAACACCTAACTTATATTAAAATCTTATGCTATTTGAGAAAGATTATTTTTACTCTGTGAAATCAATGGTTTTGGTCAGTATATTTTTAAAGTGATAGTGAGTTTGGCAAAAATACAGTTTTATTCAAACTGCAGGATCTTGATATCCTGTCTAAAACTTGTAGTAAGTAGACTTCAGAGAAACACAAAAGATTAAGGGATCTGTTACAACTTACCACTCCAGAACTTCCCATTGGGCAGAGAATTTCTTGGATTCAGACACTGCCCGCGTAATAATTGGAAACTGTTTTTGCACCCAGTACAGTTCTCGTAGCTGTAACCAACACATGTTGCACAGCTCCTGTGGCAAGGTTCGCATTCTCTAGAGATGTCATCAGTGAAGAAACCATCTCCACATTCACTCACACATGTGCCGCCTGCAACAGAAACAGAGCCTGGCATCATTGTGTCTATTCACCTGTAGCTTCTCTGTCTCCAGCAAGAAATGGTTTAAGAAAAAAACAGAATAAAAGATTCCATGAATATTTCTGTAGCTACATAAACCTCTAATTTTTTAGTGTGAGGCTGAAATTCAGCTCAATTGCTTCTCCAAACTTTACAAACTTCAAAGCAATCTGCACTTGAATTTGTATATAGATGAGTTTTCATCCATATCCTAAATCCTGACACATACAAATCTTACTAAAGTCCAAATCTGTGTAAAAAAATTATGGTTGTTATAGGAGCCCAATATAAAATCTAAGTCGAGAATTCCCGAAGACTGTTTAATGTTACGCAGGTTTTGCAGATTGGATACATCTCTATTTTCTCCTGAATATATAGGTAAATTCAGGTAAATCTGATTCAGTTTAAGGCTGGGCATACTGCAGCAAAGCCCCTAGAAGTTATTACACTGATAGCTTTTTGAGCTTCCTCCAATTTCAATTAAAAAACCATAGATCACTGGAGCACCTCAGGTTGTGACCACAGAGTTTTCCATGAGAGTGATGGTTTTGTACTCCGCTAGTGGGCACCTTCAGCAGGCAATGCACAAGAATACCATAACCTTAGGATTTCCTGTTATTCATATTTGACACCATGTCTGAAAGAGACCTACCTGATTTATGGCTTCATAATAAAGCTAAGAGATTTCTAGTCTTGTGTGAATCTGATGTGGAATTCAGGGGTTTTAGCTGAGCCTGTTTAAGGCTCGTTACTTTATGTGGAAAGGCACAGTAAAACTAGAGTTGCAAATTTCCATGTCTTTCTGTGAGTTAAAAGCCCCTTCTTTCACAAAGTCTGCATCAAATACAATATTTTTTGTATTTTCCCAAAAGAATTGAAATGCATTAAAAAAAAAAAAACCCAACAAACCACCAACCTAGAAAAAAAAAAAAGTGGCATTATGTAGTCAAATATAGGGAGCCTTTGAACCAAATGATACCACTGGCTAAGATAACCACCTTATGTTAATGCAATGAACCCAATTCTGTGAAGTGTTAATTTCCCTCAGCCTGAACTGTTTGGTATAGAAGAGATTAATTTTGAGAAGCTGGGTCCAGGCTCTTTCTCTAAAGAAATAGTCTACAATATTTTTGCATGTATGCCATGCTTAGTACTTTACTTACCTGAGAGATAAAAGCCTTCCTTACATGAGTCACACTTGTCATTGTCACAGCTATCACAATTGCTAGGACACTCTCTACACTGCAGAGAACTTTCATCTCTGTAGGTATTTTCTGGGCAGTATTTATAGCAATGCTGTTCATACCTGTAAGATAAAGCAGAACATCATCTGTAAGATTCTTCTGAGTTAATTGAGTTTATTTTCTGTGTGTTTCTGGATGTGCTAATGGTAAAGCTTTATTCTTATCCTAATGAACAGAAATTATTCCTCTAATGAAGTATCTAAATATATTTGTGGTTATGTCACTTATTCAAGTGGAAAATATTAACAAGTTTTCTAATCTCAGGGTTCTTAAATATAACTAATTTGATTTTCTTTTTTAAATGTAGGCACAAGAACAAATTCATGTTTAATTAGAAATTATTATATTGTGGCTGTAAAGAGCTAACCACTTGTAAAAATATATAATTCAATGAAATTTTTTATAGCTAGATTGATTCGCCTTTTTGTCAACAATTTATTTTGTCATGGTAATTTTTAGAGATGTCTTAACTGTCTCTTTGAAAAGCGGTAGAGTTCTTTTCCTTTCTTAACTTTCAGTTAATCTATGCTTTTTTTCCTTTGCTTAACCTCCTTACATTTTTAAATGTGCCTGCTGAACTGCAAACACCAGAACTGGACACTATATACTAAGAACATACTAGTTCCAAATCCAGAGGCACTGTTTAACTTTTAGATCCTTTCTGTTCCATATTTGTCTCTTCACATATGCAAAGTTTGCATCAGTCTGTAAATTTAAAAAGGCCTTTATAGTGAGAAATTGGCTAGTTCTTCAGCATTTCCTGAGCCTTTTTCCGAAGTTACTGTTCTCAGATAGATGATACTTAAAAGCAATGGGATAACATACCCAGCACAGTTAGATCTATGTTGTGAAGCACACATTTCTGCTTTAGAAAAATATATAGGCATGAAGAGCTATACAGCTATACTTACATGTAATAGTTCGGAATGCATGTTATACAGATTCGTGGGTCATCTGAAATTAAAAATGTGAAATTATGTAAATAATATTGAGTTAAAACCAGAATGTAACAAAGAATTTTTACACCATTTTAATGTTAATTAAATATTACATTACATTAAAATTACTTCTACTGTAACTAGAACATTATTATCTCTGAATCTCTGCTTACATTTTTTGGAGACAAACTCTTCCACACTCAGGTTCTGGCCTGTATTTCTGCAGTAATATGTGACTTTTGAGTTGTCAATGTAAGGTACCTAGAAGGTGCTGAGTGCTTAGGAAATGCTGCTTTGAAAATCAAAACATTCCCTGGAGCTCACATTGGGCAAAATGAACTCTTAAAAGGAGACTCTAAGTTATCCAAATCTATAGTTTCATTCTATTTCTTTATTTGTTGCAGAGATAAGTTAAAAGCATTTGGTCCCTCTAAATAAACTTTTCAAAAACATGTAAGTAATGAATTTAATCATAAAAATCCTGAGCTAGACAAATACCTTTCTATATGGAGTGGGTGGGAGGAAGGATTTTGGGTGAACTTTCTCATCAGAAAATTAATTTTTGCATTAAAAATTTTTGTTGAATGAACAGAAACATTGTTGTACAACTTCTTAAAACTGTTCCAGTGATAAATATGGCTTTATGCTCACAGGAAGTGAAGAATATTTTGTACAACATCCGCTATCTTCTATTAGCTATTTCTTTTACGTTACTCAAATATCCTGAAGGGAGCAGAATGGAGGGAAACAAGCTGGGTGAATGTATTTATAAACTGTTCTACTATGAAATGCCTATAAATTATTTTTGATATTAATAGTACTCATACGGCAGAATTTTCACTGAGTCTGTTTGAACTGTGTGTCCAATAAATCACACTTTACACATGAAAACTTGCTAGGCAACATGCACTTGGTTTTGTAAGTGTTCTAGCAATTTATTTATGAGGTGTAAAGTTTTGCCCAGAAATGTTGCAGATCTGTGAAAATATTCTCTTTACTGTTTAGAGCACCTGATCTAGTGTTCTTTGCATTAGATTTTGTTAAGACAGGAAATGTTCTTAAAATATGAAAATATTTTCTATTAAGTCTTCCTTTACTACTAGATAAAAGACTTTTGGGTTGTCCATGTCTTCTTTTTGAATAATTTCTGAAATACTAATATTGCTTCTGAATAAGGACACTTCCTGAGTTATTTCTTCCCCCAATTAATTTGTGCAGGTTTTTTTTCCTTGCAGTGTTTATAGAACATTGTTATGAGCCAGGTTGGTATGATGATAAATAAGTGTATTTATACCTTTTGAAAATTATTACAGTACTTGCACATACAGTCCTTACATTATGTTGATGGGAAGAAAACAGTAAGCATCAAAGAGACATTATTAAAATTGCTGGGGTTGCTTTCAGGCTTAGTAACTAACTCTCCATGTACTTTCTGCCTTTTATAAAGAAAGGGCTCTTTCCTCTCTTGCCTGTGGGAGGTTTTGATGCATTTTTCTTTCTTAACTGCCCTCTCAGTTTTGCCTGTATGGATGACTGTCTGTATAACTCAGTTTGAGACAGATCTCAGCAGTAATTGAAAGCAAAGATATAATGTCTGATCGTCCTCTGGAAAGAGAATAGAAAAATTAAGTATTAAAGTAAGTGACCATTAAGTAAAGACCATGTGTTTTGAGTTGGTTTAGGATCTAAGAGAAATTATCTAGAAACAAATGCGTAAAAATAGTTTGCTTAGATTGTGAATTGGAATTCATCTTGTGGAGAGAGAAAAAAAAATTATCACAAATAGCACTTGCATTCTGATGCTTACACAAAGTTTAGACAGAAGTGGTAATACTAAATACCTTATTAGAAGCTCACAAATTTAATAGGAATAGCTGGCTTACTGTATTTCACTTGGGAATGAATTCAGTATTCAAAACTAAGGCTTTGGAGGCAGGGGGGAGAATTTCTTAACAATTTTGCAAAATTAAAACATTAAGGCTAGTGTGGCCTAAATTAATTTGCCAATTTATCTATTGTACTATGTTATTTATCAGGCATTACTGAACCATTGTTCTTTGTCCTAAAGGTATACCCACTAAATAAAAGCTCTATCACCTTCTATACTTAGTGATAGTTTCTGAATTTAAACAGTTGAGCAATGTAGTTTAGAAAGGAATGCAAAGAGGGCAACTGTCTGATAGCAGGCAGAGAGAAAATGAAATACACGACTATTTCTGCAGTAGTGAATTTGATATTTAACACATGCTATGTTTCCAAAATTTTGGAAATTAATTTTAAGAATGAACTAAGCCTTGGGAATTTTATGAATATATATGTGTAGTTCTTCAGAAGTGACTCCTTTAAAATCTGCCACAATCGGTTCTTGGACGAGCAGTAACACCAACATCCTATATTCACTGAGATCTTCACCTTCTCATAAAGTAATGATATCTCTGTGGTGCAAAGTAGGTTAGTTGATATGTCATGCTTTTATAGACTTCTTGTCATGAAGACTGCTAATATTTTATCGTTATTTTGTAGTTTCCATTTGCATTGATTTCCACTGTGTTGAGCTTATGCAAATTTTTTGAAGAAGAAACAAAGTGATCTTGATAGCATTGGAAACAGGATTTTCAATCAGTTTTAAAATGTAAGGCCTCAGACACAAAAAAAGTCCTGTTTGACTTTCTGGTTTTACTGCAGTTTTCTTAGATAAGTAAAAATCATCTAGAGTTCATAGGAAAAGTTTTTGGTTTCTTTCCTTGTCTGTTATAAACTGATACTCTTCTTCCCTCCTGCACCTCCCACCCTTCTCAAGTACAAAACATTTGGAGTACAGCTATGTTATAATACAGGAAAGGTACATGCAAAGATTAAATATTGGTCAAAGGCCAAACATTCATGCATTCTCTTGGAACTCTCTGAATTGAGATGAATTAGTGTTTTTCTCTATTCCAGGAGGGAAGTATGGGCATTAGCATTACAAGCATAACATTGTTGTACTGGAGGAGTATTTTTGTTCAAATAGGTAGAGGAACATTGTAAGTAATTTTTTTGTATTATTACTATAGAGGCTTAATGAAATATTTAATACATAATATTCAATAAAAAGTGAGTTCCAGAGCTTTTTGGAAACCCTTGTCACTCTTTCATTATATTTGAATGTTCATGGTATTTAGACAGATACTAATTCTGGAGAGTTTACATGGCTAACCCACTGTACTTTTGAGTTACATTTACTCAAAGTATCCCATCTAATTAAACCCAGACCTTGCAATGACTTGTATGCATGCTTGACTTTATCTACTGTATACAATAAAGCTGGGAGTTGAAGTGACGTGCAAGGGTACATTTTACAGGATCTGTATTTACACTATACTTTTATTTAAGTTTCCCGTTTTGTTTATGAACTTTAAAAAAAATTAAATTTCTTAAACTATTTATTGGCTCAGCCATGAGCCTAGAATATGCTGAATACACTCAACTTTTTTTTGCATTCAGCAGCTGGGACTTAATATCTGGTTTACTTTTCCAGTTTAATTAAATGTAATGACTTGAAATGATTTTATACTGCATTGCAGTTTTCCTTTAAGGGCCAGCCTGCAGTAATTGTTTAATTTCAACAGTTACTGCTCGGTTTTATTTGTCTTTTACATTCCCCTGAATGATAATTTACTGTAATCTAAAAAACATACTATAAATTGTAATATATCACCAACAAGAGTAATTATATATTTTAACTACCTTAGACCATTTTTCTTTAGTTTTTATGGCATGTCAATTAAAATAACTGAAATGTACAATCCAAACATTATAAGATATTTGACAAGACATGGGCCCAACTGAAATCTCAGCTTTCTGTAAGCCTGAAAAATTAAGATTTCTCTTGTGGAATCACAGACTTTAGTTTGGATCTTCCAGTTTGTGTGAAAAGTCTGTCTGTGACTTTTTTGTTGTTTTTTCACCACTCTTTTTTTTTAATGTTCTTTCCTGACATTATAATTTATTTTGACAAGTCATATTACCAGGAAGTGGGAGAAAGAAAAGATTGTGAATTTTAACCAAAGAAAAAGCTGGATTCTGTTGTCAATTAGATTTATATGGGGAAATACAGCATCAGTATTTGCTTTGGCCAAAAACTATAACTTTGGTTCAGCCAAGATTTAATGATTTAGAAATATATGTATTATTAAGGCATAAAAGAAAAAAAGACTTTGAATAGACTTCATCTCTTCCAAAATTATACTTTTACTAAGTTTACATCTATTTACTTTCTTGTAATTTTTTAAAACTACAGCTACCTTTAATTAAGATGAAAACAGAAAAATTAAAAAAAAATGTTCTGAGTGTTATTCTTGCTGTAAAACTGGTTAACTGAAATAATCATACAGCTCTAATCTCAATTACCTTACTCTAAAAAAGGAATTATGTCACTTGATAAAATAAAGGGAAGAAGGCATATTTTCCTGTTCAAATAAGGATTTCAATATGTTGGAGTTAGAAGTAGAAATGAAGTGAAGATAAAGTGAAATGAAACCAAAGATTAGCATTACAGTATGCATTACCTGAAATAGTTCCATAGTTTGTATGACTGAGGTGAAATGTTGATAAATACTTGTATGTGTGTTGATAAAAGCACAAAATTTTGGGAGAGATTTCACTGTGGGAAAGTGATAATATCAGGAAGCTTTAAGGAACAGAAAATTTGAAACACTGACCTAAAAAATAAATACTGGGTCAGAATCCTCTAGTGTCTCACCAGACATAGTTGACCAGTACTGTAAGTGAGATCTACACCACACATGAAGATCCAAAATGTGATATCAATCAGAGAAGTTATTCCTTATAGGGCTACAAAGAAGAACTAGTGTTCATGTACTCCTAATAAAATAAAGTTAAGGGTACTTCAACAGAAATTAAATCAGGACATCAGCAGTACTATAACAATTAAGAAAGGACATTCAGTTTATTTGTCTTAGAATTTATTCTATCACTCAGATGTTATCTTTTGTTCTTACTCTACTGGCCATTGTT